AAGGCTGCTTTGCATTCTTTCTACACAAATATCTACTCTCAGCTGAAATAAGTGATGGGTTTTCTTCCATTTCAGCAGCATTATTTAGAGACAGAAACATTTTATGGCCACTGCTGTCAAACAATCAGAAGGCAGACATTCTTGCCCTTCTGCTTCAGGTCACCTGGTTGGTAGGTACAAATCTACCTTCTGCCTAGCCTTGCTTTATACAAGAGAAATAAATGTCTGGTTTAAGAAAGTAGGAGCCTCTTCCTGGGACAATGTTTGATACTCAGCGGAAAGTGCTGTGGAACAATGAGATCTATATGCTAGAAGGCTTTAAAAATGTGTCATAAAATAGTGTCCCTCTCCTACAAAGATATGTGTGTGTTTTTTTGCAGATGGGGAAAAGCAGCTTATGATGAAACTGGCAGATACGGATGGTGGTTAATTCCCCCACTCCTGCTATGATTTTGATCCCATCTTGGGGCACCTTACATCTGCTGAGATGTGAAAAATGAGGGGTGAGGGAGAGAAAGGTTGGGAGGTTTCATCACTGTTCCCCATGGTTCTTCCTCGAGTGGAATTGGCCTATGTGTCAATTCAGTGAAGAGGTCACGGCAAGTGCATATGTGCGTACATCTGCCTGGTTTTGTGTGACATTCAGAAGATTGACTTGGAAACTGAATATAGAGAACATACGCTGGAAGGCATGGCTTGTCATGGGTGGGCCCAGGACTGTCTTTCTTTCAGAGTTGCCTGAAGCACAAGGGCAACACTCTCAAGAGGGCAGGGCTAAAGGGGGTGGCTGTTAGTTTAAAAGGCTAATTTGCACATTCATGGACAAAAGGACAACATTCATACATTCCACCATTAACCAATGTGATCATAGGACATATTTCTCATGATATCCAAATGTAGGGATAGGTTACATCAAGAGAATGTGCCAATGTTACAACCACAACTAGATGAGACCCCAGGAAAAAGAGAGCAGTACTAGAACCTTTAATTCATGGCCACGTGCCAAGCTCCTGTCAGCCAGACAAAAAATAACGTGGCTTCATAGAATGAGAATACAAGTTGAACAATTATATTTTTTTCTTATTGTTTCTGTTGCAATGATAAATAATCTACCCACTTCTTCCATGACTTGGTTGCAAGAGGGTAGGTGATTTCTATCTGCGAAAGGGTGGTGGGTGGGAATGAAATACCTCCAGTGAGTCAACAGTAAATTTCAAAGGGGCAGGAGTTCATAATGCCAATCCTCAGAGCTGGTTCATGTCGAATAATGAGGAGAAGTTCTGTTTAAAAGTGAATGGCTCTTCATCTTGCCTTTGAGACCAAACTACTCCCAAATATTTTACCTGACAATATGAATAGCCTGCAAAAAATATACTCTTCCTGGGGAAATCCTTTTCTCCCTCAGCTGCTTTGAGGATAGTAGCCCAAACACAAGGGGAGTTGGGGTGCGCGTGCACGCACACACACACACATCAAGTAATCTGATCATTGATCTTTCATATCTTATGTGCTTTGCCCTTAATCCTTAAGTCATTTCCTGTGTGATTTGATGCCCACTTTCTGACAAGGACAGCAGATCCTTAAACAAGGCAGAGTTGACTTGATGGATAAAACACACTCTTGGACAGCTGACTGGGTGAGGACTGGTGTTTGCCTGTGTTTCACTTTCTATGATGGAATACAAATATTGCTGACTTCTTGGGGGCAGGAAATACGAGGTCCAGAAGCAACAAGGAATGTCTAAGGCTCACAGCTCAGGAGGTACTTCTCCAAGGCACAGAGTTATGGGGGTGAGTGGTCTTGATGGGGAGAAACTCTACTGGAGCAGCTTTTTCTGCCACAAGAGATGGAATGAAAAAGGATGATGTACTGTATTTTGTCAATGTTCTCCTGCTCCACAGCATAATAAAGGTGGAGAATTTATTATCAGGGAGATTTTTAAAAGTGGTTGTCACGGGTATAAATTTCCTGGATTGTACAGAATGATAATTGAAGCAACTAGGCAGAGTGGAAAGGGCATTGCTTCAGAAATTCTGTCACACAGACTTCAATGTGCTTCCAGGCAGCCTTGTTTTGTAATGGGGAGAAGCAAATGTAAGGCTGCAAAGAGAAGGAGAAAGAGCAGGCTGGGGAGCTGATGCTTGACCCTCTCATGGCTGAGATGTTTTCTTCTTTTTAAAATAACCATGGGGAGAAGCAAATGTAAGGCTGCAAAGAGAAGGAGAAAGAGCAGGCTGGGGAGCTGATGCTTGACCCTCTCATGGCTGAGATGTTTTCTTCTTTTCTTTTTAAAATAACCATGGGGAGAAGCAAATGTAAGGCTGCAAAGAGAAGGAGAAAGAGCAGGCTGGGGAGCTGATGCTTGACCCTCTCATGGCTGAGATGTTTTCTTCTTTTTAAAATAACCATGGGGAGAAGCAAATGTAAGGCTGCAAAGAGAAGGAGAAAGAGCAGGCTGGGGAGCTGATGCTTGACCCTCTCATGGCTGAGATGTTTTCTTCTTTTCTTTTTAAAATAACCATACAAACTTGGTGTGTGTGTGTGTGTGTGTGTGTGTGTGTGTGTAAACAGCCAACAAGTGATCTCAAGAGCGTGCAATGAATGTTGTCTGTTTTGTTCAAAAACCTGTGAGTCTGGAAGACCTTGCGAATAATGTTGACAGCCCAAGCAGTTACTGTATGTGTCACACACACATACACACACACACAATGGGGGGGGAGGGAGGGAGGGAGGGAGAGGGTTGGCTTCAGCTTATATTAGCATATCTCTGATATTTGGAAACATATACTCTGGTTTCTCTTCAGATATTTAGAAACATTGTCTGCAATCTAGAGCTAATTGTGCCTAAGATGGCTTGCCTGCATAGCAGTCTCAGAAATGAGACAGAGTTGATCTTGGAAGTAACAGCGTTACCCGGAAGCATGCATGACCGTTGGTGGTAACAGCATAACAATGCCATTTTTTCAATTCAGTGTAATACTTGCTAAATTTTTGTCATGGATCCTGAATCGTTACAGTTGGGAGCTTGTTGGGAGGTGGAATTGAGGCCATTTGGGGGTAATTCTGTATATTTTGAAGCGTACTCAAAAATAAGTGTATTTTTAAAGTAATGTACTAATGGTGCTCTTGAAATCATGATTGAGAACCCAAACCATGACTTTTGCTCATCATCCAAACTTATACAAGCCATTTCTTGCCAGCAGTGCCTTATGGCATTTTACATTGCAGGACTCTGCCAGTTGACGCAGAAGATGAAGCTTTTGTGAAACTGACATGAGAAACAGCCAGGCTCAGGAGCCAGCAGGGGGAGCTCTTCAGGTTCCCTTCCCTTCTGCCTCTGACCCCAGGGCAGCCATCCTTGAACAAAAGGGAGGTTCCAAGGAGAAACAGCTGAACAAGGATACATCCAGTTGCCTCAAGTAAAGAAAGGAGTTTCTTATCTCATTATGGCCAGAATCCCACAATGCCCAGGGCCTCTTGCATTTCCATTACATGCCTTCCTCTCTCTTGCCTACTACCACCGGATAAAGGTCTGTCTACCCACGATACACTCCATGTATCTGAACGAGTCAGCTACAGCTTATGCTGAATGAAACCTAATTGTCTCTCAGAGGTGCCACAGGACTCTTCGTCCACGTGCCAACGTAACTATTGCCGTGGAAAGATCATAAAAAGTGCTCAATATGTCAAGAGGTAAGCAAGCAGGCAGGCATCCGCTGGCTTTCTATCCTTGCTTCTTCACCTTTCCATGTATTCGTAGATGTCTAAGCTTAAGTGCAGCCCTTCCATTTTGCTCTTGTCCCTAACTGGCCTCTGCACTGTTCCAGGGCTCTGGTTATGCTAATTACTTGACTTGCGATGCAAGGGGTCTATATTTTGCAGCACTTTGACAAACCCTGCATTCAGAGCCACCCAGCCACTCAAAGGCAGACCTCCCAGGCCACCTCCTCCACCAGAGCTTGGTCTCATCCCTCTATCTTAAAGCCTGAAAGCTGCTCCAGATGCAGTATTTGTTCTTTGTACCATATCTAGTTCAGCACTGATTTTATCAGGACTCCTGCTGTCCACATGACAACAAGCTTATCTCCCTTCCAGAAGTGAAAAATCTGAGACTTCCAGGGATCCTTCCCCCACTTCCTGAGGCGCAATTCAATTTTTATCTTAGTTCGTTCCAGGAATGATAGTTTCGTTCTATGGTGATTCCCATTTCTGTGTCCATAGCCTCCAGTCAGAAGTTTTCAATTAGACCATTGATGATTTTAAATACTCACACCCGCAAAATAGGTTTTGAAAAGAAGTTCTGGAGCTGGAGAGGGTTTATATACATTTATTAAGGATTTTCCTGAGACTTCTCAGAGAGTAGTCTGTATTGTGTATTGTGGAGAAATGTGTGTTTCTTTATTTGTTTGTTTAAATGAGGTTTCAATGTGAATACCTGTGAGACCCATGCTCTTTCATGACCTACTGGGAGAAGGCAGAGTGAATTTTGCCCCATTACGAAGATCCCTGAGTCTGGAGAAATGTCCTCTTGCCACCTCTCACTCAGTGCTCTTCCCTCTTCTCTGAGACACGGAGAAATTTCTGAATTCCAACAGGGCAAAACCTGCCCTCCACACTCCTCCTCATGGAGGTTTGTCTTCAGAAAAATATTTTGCAGCCCATCACCTGTCCTGGCCTTTTCAGCAGGCTTGGCCAGTGGAGATGATGTATTCTGTGTGTCTATGTGTCTGTCTGCGTCTGTGTGTGCCGTGACCCCCCCACACCCCCGCAAGGAAAACCTACAGGCCTGCTGGGTAGCATACGGCTCTGGTGGCTGTCCTTTCTGTCAACATCCTGGCTGGCACCCTGGGAAGATTCCTTGGTGCCAGGCAGGCCCACCTCCCTGGCGATGAAGAGATTAGGGGTTGTTGCTTTCCTTTTAAAAAGCGCCCGTCCCATCTCACATCCCTTCATTCTGCAGCAGCGAAGGGAGGCATCTGTGCAGTCCGCACTCCCCCACCCACCCACCCACCCACCCACCGACTGAGATGGAGTGGGCTCCAAAACTGGTAGGTGCTTGCTTGGCTGTCTTTGTGCCTCTTTTATTTACTTTCTATTTATTAATGGCCTGTCAGACTTGTTTGCTTTGGGAAGTGTAAACCTTTCCCTGGGTGAGCTTTTGCTTTCAGCGCCTGCTGTGAAAGAGACAAAAAAAAGGAAAAGAAAGGTGGCGTGTGTGTGTGTGTGGGGGGGAGAGTGGATTCCTTGAGAGGAAAAAGAGCTCAGCGAATGCAGCACGTTTGCCCTCAATGAAACGGGCAGACAGCTTGATTGCTGCTGTCATGTAGGAATGATTGGCTTGTACGTATAAGGATCCATGGAAACCTCAGGGATCTGAAAGAACCAAAATGGGGCAGAAGCAGCCGCCAAGCAGAAAAAGGCAGGCGTAGGACATGGAAGCGGGGTTTTATTTTATTAACACCACCATGTCTTCACTGAACTGTAATACAGGAAGTGGACTGCTGAAGAGGAAAGGGATGGGCTGATATAAATAGTCCATCTGGCAAAATGCAATCAAATAATGCAAAAACAAAACAAAAGAACCAAAATGGGGCAGAAGCAGCCGCCAAGCAGAAAAAGGCAGGCGTAGGACATGGAAGCGGGGTTTTATTTTATTAACACCACCATGTCTTCACTGAACTGTAATACAGGAAGTGGACTGCTGAAGAGGAAAGGGATGGGCTGATATAAATAGTCCATCTGGCAAAATGCAATCAAGTAATGCAAAAACAAAACAAAACAAAGCAAAACTGGCTAAAACGGCTCTCCCACACCATTGCATTGAAGCTTGTACGCGTTCTAGCCAGCAGCTCCATATTTGGCACCTTTGAACTAACAGGTCCTCTTGTATAGCATGTGACCAACATACTAGCATGAGGATTTTGTTTTGTTCTGTTTTGTTTTAAGTTGCCATCTTTTGCTCACAGTCCTCAGCCAATCCACCTGGCTCATAAGGTTATTGACTGTTGGGACAAACTGGCTTAATCTCCATGTGGCCCCAAGTTCCTTAGAATCAAACTAAATGATAACGTTAGCATGTCACTAGAAGCAGAACCTCCATTTGTCCTGGCACAAGGTTTCCTTACCTCTGCATGTTGCAAATTAGCTCGTTTTTGGTTTCTGACTGGCCATTGGTAAGTAAACATAGGCTTCATTTTCAAGTGTGATTGTTCAGGCACAAAGCTTTGGAGGAACTGAGTGCCTGGAAGGGAAACACTGGAAGAGCCAGAAATATTCATTTCTTTAATGTGTGATTTGATTCTTGAAAGAAGACTGAGTTATAAATATACCACATAGAGTAATAGGATATTTTGTAACAAGGTAATTGTTTCTCAGTTTTGTGTTATGAACTACAGTCTTCTACTACACTAATTTCAACTTTTATCCTACCCACATCAACAACCTTGCATTCTACATGTACATAAATATGTGAACTGGGCCATTAAACCATCTAGAGAGAAAGCAAGACTTGGAGAGAAATCTGACACCCTCTTTAAATTGCACACACATACAAACATTATAAGAAAGCAACAGGTAGTTTATGTTCAGAGGAGCAAAGAAACCAAGTCGGGCAAAGAGATTTGGGGGAGAGAGTCATGATAGCTTGCTGTCAAAGCAGACTTTATTCTCTGGTCTAGAGGACAGGACCGGAACAAACCGATAAAAAATTAAGTTTAAGCATGAGGAGAAAAAACCCAATAACACAATATATTATATTCTCCCTCCCTGGAAGACAATCCAAATCGCAAGATTCCTGCCTTCATGTCTCCCTTTCTTGATGTATGATGGATGCCCTCTCAGGCGCGGCCTGCCTCACACACTCTGGGTATAAAAGAAGAGTAGATTTCAGCCTGAACAGAATGGAGTTTCCTTGAAGGAAAACGGGGGCTGCCACTGGCCTCTCTGCAGGCTGCCTAAGCATTCTGCTGGTATTCTTCCTGCATGCCATCCCTGTCATGTCAGCCTACAGCAGTGGAAGAGAATGGCTTTGTGACCTGAGAGAGGACCAAATGTCACATTCTTAAGTGGCCAGCTGTTTAGAAATGAGGCTACAGAGCTTCCAAGTGGAGTCTTTCGACCAAACCATGGTCCAGTTAGTGCTAGTCAGACTTCTCATAGGCTGCATTTCTTTGCAAGTGTGTCTTGATCCCATTCTTAACTTTCTAACCAACCACCACACTGGTAACAATTTCTGTGCCACACTTTCCGTGCAGAGCCCTTTGCTGCCTGTTTCAGGGACAGGGAACCTGTAGCCCTCCATAGCATCCTGAACATGAGCTCCCATCAGCCTTGGCCACCATGGACAATGGTCAAGGATGAGGGGACCAGCAATCCAATGCCTGGAGGGTGTCAGGGAGCTCACCCCTGTTCTACTTTATGTCTCCCCTGTCCGTGCTTCTCTAGAGGCTTATGTCTTGCTGGCCTGTGCTTGAGTAATCTGAGACCTGGACTCTGCTATGCCAAAAAGCAGAATGCCAAACTTCGCATTTTTAGTCCCTACTACATGGTGCCCCTTCATGGACTGCTGCCTTGTCGTGGCGAAGGGGCTTGAGTACTGTAATTCAGAGAAGCTATGGGCTATGCTGTGCAGGGACAGCCAAGACGTACAGGTCAGAATGGAGAGTTCTGACTAAATGCGATCCACCTGGAGCAGGAACTGGCAAGCCACTCCAGTATCTTTGCCAAGAAAACTCCATGGACAGAAACAAAAGGCTAAAAGATATGACGCTGGAAGCTGAGTCCCTCTGGTCGGAAGGCATCCAACATGCTACTGAGGAAGAGCGGAGGACAAGGACAAGTAGTTCCAGAGCTGAAGCCGAAAGGATACTCAGCTGCAGATGTGCCTGGAAGTGAAAGGAAAGTCTGATGCTGCAAAGAAAAAGACTGCATAGGAACCTGGAATGTAAGATCTATGAACTTTGGGAAGCTGGATGTGGTCCAACAGGAGATGGCAAGAATAAACATTGACATCCAAAGAACAGCAAGGAGAGACAAGAGGGCCGTCTTAAACGAACAGTGCAAAGAAAGAGAGGAAAATAATAGAAAGGGAAAAACCAGAGATCTGTTCAAGAAAATTGGAGATATTAAAGGAACATTTTGTGCAAAGATGGACATGATAAAGGACAAAATGGTAGGGACCTAACAGAAGCAGAAGACATCAAGAAGAGGTGGCAAGAATACACAGAAGAATTATACCAGAAAGATCTGGATGTCCTGGACAACCCAGATAGTGTGGTTGCTGACCTTGAGCCAGACATCCTGGAGAGCGAAGTCAAGTGGGCCTTAGAAAGCTTGGCGAACAACAAGGCCAGTGGAGGTGATGGCATTCCAGCTGAACTATTCAAAATCTTAAAAGATGACGCAGTTAAGGTGCTACATTCAATATGGCAGCAAGTTTGGAAAACTCAGCAGTGGCCAGAGGATTGGAAAAGATCAGTCTACATGCCATATCCTAAGAAGCACAGTGCCAAAGAATGCTCCAACTACCATACAATTGCATTCATTTCACCCACTAGCAAGGTAGGCTTCAGCAGTATGTGGACCGAGCACTCCCAAAAGTACAAGCTGGATTTCGAAGGGGCAGAGGAACTACCCGTATTTGCTGGCATACAAGATGACTTTTTTGGCCCAAAAACATGCCTCCAAGTGGGGGGGGGGTCGTCTTGTATGCTGGGGGCACTTCATTTGGGGGAGGAAGGCAGGCGGGCAGTCAGTCAGTCAGTCGGGATGGAGGCAGTCGCTCGCCCACCCCCCGCCCGCTTCCCCTCTTCCTCCTCCTCCTCCTCCCACCGCCCACCCAGCCTCTCCCCCTCTTCCTTGCCCTCTCATTGCTTGAGCCAGCTGGCATGCGCGCGTGCGCTCTTCCCCTCTTCCTCGCTCTCCTCCGCCAGCCATGAACTTCCAGGGCGGGCCCGGGCAGAGCCCCAGGCAGCTGGCGCTGGCACCAGAGCAGAGCCATCCACTCTATATTTTGAGTGGAAATGTTGGGGGGTCTTATACGGCCAGACACCTTGTACGGTGGCAAATACTGTACGGTAGAGACCAAATTGCTAACATGCGCTGGATTATGGAGAAAGCCAGAGAGTTCCAGAAAAACATCTACTTCTGCTTCATTGACTATGCAAAAGCCTTTGATTGTGTGGACCACAGCAAACTATGGCAAGTTCTTAAAGAAATGGGAGTGCCTCACCACCTTATCCATCTCCTAAGAAATCTACATGTGGGACAGGAAGCAACAGTTAGAACTAGATATGGAACAACTGATTGGTTCAAAATTGGGAAAGGACTACGACAAGGCTGTATATTGTCTCCCAGCTTATTTACCTTATACGCAGAATAAATCATGTGAAAGCCTGGACTGGATGAATCCCAAACTGGAATTAAGATTGCCAGAAGGAATATCAACAACCTCATATAAGCAGATGATACCACTCTGATGGCAGAAAATGAGGAGGAATTAAAGAACCTCTTAATGAAGGTGAAAGAGGAGAGCGCAAAAAATGGTCTGAAGCTCAACATCAAAAAATCGAAGATCATGGCCACTGGTCCCATCACCTCCTGGCAAATCGAAGGGGAAGTTATGGCGGCAGTGACAGATTTTTCTTTCTTGGGCTCCATGATCACTGCAGATGGTGACAGCATCCATGAAATTAAAAGACGCCTATTTCTTAAGAGGAAAGTGATGGCAAACCTAGACAGCATCTTAAAAATCAAAGACATGATCTTGCCAACAAAAGTGCGCATAGTCAAAGCTATGGTTTTTCCAGTAGTGATGTATGGAAGTGAGAGCTGGACCACAAAGAGGGCTGACTGCCAAAGAATTGATGTTTTTGAATTGGACTGCAGGGAGATCAAACCTATCCATTCTGAAGGAAATCAAACCTGAGTACTCACTGGAAAGACAGGTCCTGAAGCTGAGGCGCCAATGCTTTGGCTGTCTCATGAGAAGAGAAGACTCCCTGGAAAAGACCCTGATGTTGAGAAAATGTGAAGGCAAGAGGAGAAGGGGACAACAGAGGATGAGATGGTTGGACAGTGTCATCGAAGCTACCAACATGAATTTGACCAAACTCCGGGAGGAAGTGGAAGACAGGAGGGCCTGGTGTGCTCTGGTCCATGGGGTCATGAAGAGTTGGACATGACTTAACGGCTAAACAACAACAACATGGTGCCAGTTTTAAGTACTGTTTTATTACATGGATGGTTTTACCTCCTCATTTTTAACCACATTTTATTTAATCTGCTTTGTGTTTGTTTTTAATCAAGCTAGGTTTATCTCTGCATCTGCATTTTTTTATCAAGTTGGTTTTCTATTACTATAGATTTAGATTTTTGCTTACACTTCATTTTATCATTTAAATTGCTTCATGATGTTTAGATACTTTAAAATGTTTTATAGGCATCATAAACATGCAAATAATGTAATCAATCAATAAAATAACCAGCTTGCTTGTTTTTCCCCCCAGATGGTTTTCTATGCTCTTTGCCTTTCCTTCTCACTAGACTTCACCACAGAGACAAAAGAGCAGAGCAAAAGCACAAAAGGAAAAAAGAGAGGCTCAGCAAAAATCAAGGACCAGCACCGGAGGGCTCAGGAATCATCACCTGACCCACTGTTGAGAATCAGTCCAGGCGCCTCCACAGACTACACCCTTGTAGAGGATTATGAGCGGAGTATCCATGAAATGGTTAACCAGCTGCAGAATAGCTCAGAGCCCCTGGATAGCAAATGCCAAGTCAACTTGAGACTCTGGATGTCCAACAAAAGAAGTTTGTCTCCTTGGGCCTACAGGTGAGAAGGATTGTGCTGGACTCTGGGCTCAACAGTGTGCTACACTTAGTGTATTGCTGCAGTCTTATTAGTGTTCTAGAGGCATGATTCAAGCAAACTTTTGTATCTGAGAACCCAGAGTTGCAAATGAAGCCTAACTCAATCACAGAACAAAGTAATTTGAGAGAAAAGCTCCTGTCGTGACAATCATATACCTCCTGCAGTTAAAATAATTCCCTTTTCTTATAATGACTTATCTGCAATATACAGTTCAGTTCCCAGAATCTAGGTCTGGCCCAGAGAGAGAGAGAGAGAGAGAGAGAGCTAGTCTCAGTACAATCCAAAAATTGTGCCACCATTGCATTTTATTTTTAGCATGATATCCAAGCAAACCATAACCCACAGTTAACAAGACAAGAACGTGTCCCTATTTAATGAAGTGGGGTGGGTACTGATACCTTCCAAAAGTACTCCAGTCCTCATGTTAACCAACAAAGGAAACAAGTCACAAAAGAAATGATAGCAAATGTATCAAAACCTAGTGAAGCACAGGAGTGGGAGGGCAGGTTTGTTACTGATTATTTCACAAACAACATCCTCTGAGAACCGGCAAGACTGGCACAGCTACATGCCACAGAGGAAATCATAATGAATGAGCTATCTTCTGTATATTATTTTTCCAGCTGCATATTGTAACAGGCTAGGGCAGTGCTGTATAGTCCCAGAAGATCAAGGAGTGGGTATAACCTCTGTGGAATGGGGTTAAACTTCCTCTGAAAACCCAGATTCACGACTTGGGTTGCTCATGGATTCGGCCCTGAGTCTAGATGCCCAAGTACTAGTGGTTCTCCTACAGTGCATTTGCATTGCTAAAGCTAGCATACCAGCTACGCCTATTCCTGGAAATGTCTGCCTTGGCTATGGTGAAGCATATTTTAGATATATCCTACTTGGATTGCTGTAACAAACTGTATATGAGTCCACCTTTGAAGACTGTTTGGAAACTTCAGCTGGTTCAAAACACTATAGCCAGACTGCTGAAAGAGACCCGCATATAACATAGTTTTTTTTAAAACAACAACTTCATTGGCTACCATGTATTTCTGGGTACAATTCAAATTGATGGTTATAAAGCCTTATAAAGCCTAGGCCCAGGCTGTCTAAAATACCTAATCTCCCTCACAATCTTGCCTGTTTTTTGACATCAGCAGGACGGACCCTTCTCTCAGTCCAACCACCTTCCAAGGCTCATGTGATGAGGATGTGAGAGAGGGTCTTCTCTGTGGCGACTCCCTGACTTTGGAGCTGCCTCCCAGCAGAGATTGGGATTCTTCTCTCTCTTGCTGTCCTTCTTCTGACAGGCTAAAAATGCACTTATAGAATGCCTCATAATGCTTAAAGCTCTCTCTGGGTGGTTTACAATTTAATTGTGTAGGCTACACATCCCCGCCCCCCACATGAGCTGGGTATTCAGTTTTTCTGACCTCAGAAGGATGAAAAGCTGAGTCAACCTTGAGCCAGCTACCTGAGTCCAGGGTTTATTTTATTTTATTTTATTTTATTTATACTCCACCCATCTGGTCTTACGACCACTCCAGGCGGCTTCCAAATACATAGATAAAATCATATGAATATACACAAAAATTATAACATCAGCTAACAAATTAATAAATTATTCAAGATGGAAAGATACAAAGAAAAAAAGAAAGAAAATGTAATCAAGGGTTAACTGGAGGGAAGGCCTGCACGAACATCCATGTTTTTACTTGGTTTTTGAAGGATTGAACTCGGGTTGTGAGCAGATTCTTGGCTGCACTTTTTCAGAGTGTCTGAACCCTGGCAGGCATCAATCAGGCCGCCTCTGTCACCAGTACCTCAAGCAAACTCAGCCCTGTTCCCAATAATAAAAAAATGTAACATGAGGCAGCCCTTCAGTCATTGGATGAGGATGGATGGTGGCACCAGCCCACAGCTGTTGCTCATAAGCATCCCTTCAGCCATTACTGAAGAGCTGTGTAGGCCTGGTTTTGGTAGGGTATCAATGGTCCATTGCCAGGGTTGTAGTAAAATCCCAATGTCCTTTTACTTGCTTCTGTGCATCGGGAGGGAAGGGACGTTGTTCTTTGCTGTCAAGAAGCACTTTGCCTTAGGCCAGCCCTGTGAATTGGGCCTTTTCGACCACTGCTGCAGAGCTGTCTGGAGGCAGCAGGGCATGTGGGGGTGATAGGATAAGGGGGGTGAGTGCCACTGTACAGGGTGCACCTGACTTTAAAGTATTAGATGCCATGACATGGTGGCTGCCACTGTATGCCTCCAAGTGCCGCATCTCAGGAGGCTTCCTGGCAAGTTGCGTCATCAACACGTGGTTTGTATCTAATTGTTTATTTCAAACTGAAGAACAGACTTCTTTCTAAGAGAATGGAAAACAAATTGTCCAACTGGTACATTCCTCCCACTGTATGGTTTGGGAATGGAATTCTGTAGCTAACTCGTAGCTTGCTCATTCCTTGGCATATTGGTTACTACCCATTCTTAAGATTCTGCCAAGAAAATACAACTGTACGTAGCAGGAAAAGCTTTCTAGGCAGAACCTGAATTCTTGGCACTGGATTCCCCCTCCTGTGGCCCCCTTTAAAATTTTATAAATCTATTGTTTTTCTGATGAAATGATTTGCCTCGTTAGGCCTAAACATGCCATGGGTATCTCATACAAAAAGGAAAGGTAGCCAAATCAGCCAGAATTAAAAGTTCTAACATTCATATTGTTCCAATATCTTTATTAGGCCAATGAAAGAGGCACGCACACACAAACACACAATGTGTGCACACTTTTAAAATCTTCAGGTCTCTTAAACAGGCAATATTTTACAAGAAGCAATTTGAAGTTAGACTAGATCTCATGACAAGCGATGCAGGAACATCCACATCAATTTAGACCCCCTCCCTTTCCCCCTAAGCCACCTGTTTAGAATATCTTACCTAATCAATAGAATGGAGGTTCGAAAGCTTGCATACATTTTTGCACCCTTTTGGTTGGTTCAATGAAGCTACTATACTGCCAGGGAATCTGGTATTTTAGTGGCAGAGTTCCTGTTGCTTCCCTTGGCATCTGGTCAAGTCTGGGACTTAAGTTCATCAAGAAGACAAGGTCACAAACCCACAAAACTTTCTGACTGATCTCCAGGCAACAGCGGGAACAACAGGAACAAGGTGGCTTGGGATTCTGGGGCTGAAATCCATTAATCACAGTAGGCCCCTTGAATCAAGAGAACTTACGGAAGAATGGACTCACTAAATCCCCACTGATTCAGTGTGTCTACTCTATTGCAATTTACTACTGTGTTTCAGTTTGAGTGTTTCTAAAACCATAGAGACAGATGCTGTAATTTCATTTGTGGAGGGATAGGAAACATGACCCAAACAAGACAGCAGCAGAAACCCACAAAATAGGTATGACTTGTGATTATTTCTACAACCCCAGTATAGAGCCATAACCCTCTTCAGTACATGGCCACATCCCTCCTTAGGACATTGCACCAAGCTGAGGTGTTACCTAGCTCCTTCTCTTACACGGAGTGACAATGGCATCTTAGATCATTTCTCTCTATTCAGGACATAATTTCTGAGGGTCAAATTAGATGATATGCTTATGGTTTCACTTAAATGACAAATTCCTTCAAGTGATGTAAGATGCTAGAGCACATGGCTTATTTCCACATGTTGTGTTTAGCATGCTTTTTTAAATGATTAATCAGTAGAAGATAAACACAGGCCTAATTTGAAAGCCTGGCCGCCAAATAGCACAACTGTCAAGATACCCCATTGCCAGACTCTTGTAGATTAACTGGTGGAAATGGGCACTCGCTTCAAGATCTAGTTTTAACAGACTGTGTGAATGTTTTTAATTTTGCCAATATTTAATTTTGCTCCCAGGGCATGGCTATGGGCACAAGAGGCAGTGGTGGGAGCATCTGTGCTGGAGGGTCTTGTTTGCAAGTCTCTCACCCAGGAGGCATTACAGCTCTTGTGATGGACCATGTGCTTTTCATGCAGAAAGTCCCACATCCAATCCCCAGCAGAGTACGGAAGGATCCTGCTTGAAACCTTAGCAAATCTGTGCCAGTGCTGAGAGTGCTGGACCACAAGAAAGCAGCTCCTTATTTTCCTGCCCCATATTCTGGGGTCTCTGGGAGAATTCAACATTTTCTTATGTAAGTGCTGGAAGGTGGCATAGTTAAGTGGTGGAGAATTGGTCACCGTGTGCTGGAATACCTCTATGCATTCCTATGACCTGCCATTTTTCTATCTGCCCTGAATGGACACACATAACCTGATGATGACGTATTTCCCTGCAGGATAAATCACGATGCCACAAGGGTACCAGCCGACATCCCAGAGGCACACTGCTTATGTGCAGGATGCATCAATCCCTTCACCATGCAGGAAGACCGCACCATGGTCAGCATCCCCATCTACAGCAAAATCCCAGTGCGCCGCTTGCTGTGCGAACCAAGCAAGCCTCACAGGAAGAAGAAAAGGTGCCACAAAGAGCACAAGATGGTTATGGAGACGATTGCTGTGGGCTGCACTTGCATCTTCTGAGGGATACACAAAGGACACACCTCTAATTCTTGCATCCTTTAGGGTTAGTACGGTGCCTGCCTTCTTTACCACCACTTCCTTCTCTTGCCAGTACAGTACTGGACAGCAAAGGCCCATCCTCCCTCTCTGCTCTTGCTCTTTCTTCTGCCAGGGTGAGGAAAGAAGAATGTGCAGTCACAGTCTGAGGCTGCTAACAGCAAGCACTTGAATTATCAAGAGGTTCTGTGCATCACATCAGTAATCCAGGACTCAACAGAAAGGCTGAAACTAGATGACATTGTTAGCAGTTTTAGAAGCTGTGTTTTATCAAGTGCTGGGTAGACATCCTAGCACATGATCTTTCTCACCTCTGTATCTTGCATTTAGCATGATTTTTCTTTGTAATTGATCATTGGAAAGCAATCACAGGTTCCATTTTCATGAAAACAGCTCAGTGGAAGAGCACACAGTTTGCCCGCAGAGTAACTTGGTCTACTCCTACCAAAGTATACACATTACTAACTAGATTCTATGGACCACAAATGATCGGCCTCCCTAGATGTTCAGCTTCCTAAAAGGAGGAAATATAATTAAGCAGGAAAGAGACATTACTGTGGTTCAGGTAAGGCAGTTGTCCATATATCCATGAAGCCACGCAGCCCCAAAAAGAGAGGAAACAATTTTCTAGGTGTCCCAGTTTAGAAGTTATGGCTTTAGGTAGCAATTCCTGGATGGCCCTAACCAGCATGCCCTGTGTGACCCTGCAGAGTGAGAAATCCTGGAATTGCTATGCAAAGCAGGAGCACTGCCTCTATGCCTTAATGCTCCAGAATCTGAAAGAATCAACTTGCAACTTTACTTCTGATCTACTTCACTCTCAGCACTTTGTTTAAACAGAAGCACGCCATCACCCTGCAGTTAAGGAACTTTATTCAAGGTTGGCCAGCGCCTGTTTCTCTGGCCCTTTCTGGAAACTCAACTCATTATTTTTCTCCAGAGGCAGCTTTACTGTTTGACAATAAAGTGGATCCCTCATGCTGTTTTACATATATTTTTTAAATTTAATCAAAGTCCCCCTTTTTATTTTTTTTAAAAAATGCCACTCTTTGTCACAGAATACATGCTCTCTCTTAGACACGAAGCCGAGATCAGCCTTTTGTCCAAGTACTAGCACGAGCCTCACCATTTCATTGACCTTGCAGCTGACAACATCAAGGTGTTCCTTTCAGATAAAAATAATTCCAGGTGAGCACAGCTCAATTAGCAAGCAACAGGAAAATGAACATACAGGCCATCAATTCAGAATTTCAGGGCGTGCCTTTGAACAGGGGTGGGAAACCTCCAGCCTTCCAGCTGATGAAAGACAAGCCTGTCACTGGCCAACAACATGGGGAGGGCTGCTGATTCCCCAGCCCACCCCCCATGGAATCAGCTTGATACAGGGGGGGTGGTATGGGGCTACCCCTCTGGTAAGAAAGAGTGAGGCAGCCATCTTAGGCAGTGGATTTAGAGTACCATGAAAAGGCAGAACATAGCAAGTGATTCATTTACTATTTTTGTTTTTAAACATCCTAAGAAGATAAAAGAGGTTCTGGGAAAGGCATATTTCTGTCTCAGGTGCCAAAGCTGCTCTTCTTGGTGGGTACTATGCACCACCATTTTAAGGGAGAGAAGCATCGTTTGCTGTTCTTTCTCAGGCAGCAAAATGCCTTCAGACCACTACAACCTGACATAGGGGATCAAGTCAGGAACATTTCTCCTATCAAACATGGAAACGCTCCCACCTCTACGACACACATGCCAAGGCAGCAAAAGATCTGCCATCACCTGCAGGGAATGAAGGTACCAGGGCAGTGGTTAAACAGTGCCACGTATGTTACAGGAGGGCAAAGATGAAAGGATGTTACACCTGAGTGTTAGCCAATACCTGAAGACTCAGCTCAGGGCTTTCTGGCTGACCAGAACTGGAAGCAAATTACCAAGGCTTAGTAACAAAACAAAGGGAGTTACACAGTGGCATAAACATGAAGATTTTGCAAGGAATTTCACACTAGAGCTCCTGCCCACCCCGCAAAAGGGCCCCTGCTTTTTGTTTTGAAACCTGAGCCTAGGGAGGGAACCCAGCACAAAGTAACCAGGAGTCAAGACGGGCAGCTGCTCTGGAGGCAAGAGGGAAACCCTTCTGGGGTAGTTCCTTTCCAAAGAGGGAGGTTGCCGAGTGATGTGCAGCTAGACTCAGGAGAGCAAAAGCCCACTGCTTGGAATAGGAAGCCAAGCACTCTGTTTTTAAAGCAGAAATTCATCCTGGATGGAACTTAAAATAAGCTGGCTTAGATCTTTCCCAGAGTCCCCTTGTAAGTCTTAAAAGCTGGGCACCCATAAATATTTGTTCACAGACTCTCTGAAACGGAACGGCAACTGCACGGCCCTGGGAGACACTTCCTGCAGAGAACGGGCAACGAACAGGGTTGTTTGTAATAGCAACTCTTCCATTTACTTCCCCACCCAAACTCCAGTGTAATCCTCCAGTAATCATCTTCATCTTGCATGAAAATAAAAGATAAGACTCCTGGAAAGTCAACTCTAGCAGGACTTGCAAAGTTCATAGCTCAGTCTTCACCTTGTGCATGAGGTCCTTCTGGTCTATTTTCTCTAAATCACGGTACCAGAGGCTGTAGGCTAGGAGGGCCACGTTTTTGGCAGCCACCGAAGCCATTTCCATTGAGCTGGCCACCCACTCCATGCTGTTGAGATAGTAAAGGTTATCGTGCAGAATAATGGGTGGGAGGGTCTTGGCAGACTCATAGTCAGGATAGGCCTGCCATTCGGTCACCTGAACTGAGTAGTACGAGCGGAACAGAATCTTCAGCTCCTGCTTCTCCAGGGGGTGCTGAGAGTGGACGCGCCACACGGCAGCGTCTTGGGGCTGCTTTCGTCTGAAGGTACCAGATACATTAACAGGGCAAATGTTATCCATGGAATTGAAGAAGAGGGAAGGGGTATCCGTGGTGAGGACACTGGCGTAAGGGAACAGCTTTGGGTCTGGGAAGCCGAAATAAGAGGAGTTGAGGTAGCCGTGGACGACGGATGTGACAGTAGTGCGAAAGAGTCCAGGGAACTCAGCAATGGGAGGGTCAAAGTTCTGGAAAGTGATATTGTTCTTGCTGTTGTGCAGCTGAGTAGCAATAACCACTATGTCATAGAAGCTGGAACCTTGGCCTTCCTCATCTTCATAGTGTACTTGGTAGAAGGTTTTGCCTTCTGGAGAGAAACAAGGAAGAAAAAGCAAAAATTGGAACCCAAGCAGATAGTCGCCACCATAAGTGAATATGAGTCATATACGAGGGAGATTCCATAAGAAACCTTTCTGGCAAGGGCAATTGTCCTATGGTTCCTCTTATTTTTGTTGTTGTGATGTGCCGTATAGTCACATCTGACTTAAGTAGATTTTAATAGGATTTTCAAAGTATGTGAGATATTTAGAAAGTGGCGAGTTTTCATGGCTAAGAGAGGATTTAGACCCTGGTCATCTGAGTCCTGGTCCATCACTCTACCCATTACACCGCACTAGCTTTCCCTATACTTCTTAGCTAATCGTATGACCTTGTGTAGCTCACTCAATGTTTTCAGTTTTAACATTTGGGCCCTGCTTGTTTACCTAGGCCCATCCCATAATATCAATTCAGTGAACATCCATAACAGTGACAAAGGGATGTTAATCCAAGAAGAGAGAGAGACTTCCTGACTGGTCATGAGTGAGCAAACTGGGATCCGGACAGACAATCTCACTTTCTGCGAGCACAGAGGAAAATGCTCCTAGGCAAGATTGAATCATGGGAGCAGAGCTGTCGTATGCAAGGTGACAGAGGCAGGATGCATGCATCAGCTGACACTGCAGCTTTCACAAAAGAAGTACCAAGAGGGTGAGCAACGCTTGCTTTGGCTGAGAGGCCCCAGGGGACTTAAGGGACAGAGAAGTAGTTAATCCTGAAAGCGTAAGGCTCACTAAGACATGAAACAAAAGCAGGTGGGTACAATCGCAGCATAAGAAGTGTGAGTTGTTTACATAACTAGCAACATTCAAGAAGTGTGTAGGCTGGCAGGCATTCAGAGAAAAAGCACAACAGGAGTTCACCTGGTATGGTGCAGAAGTATCTGCTGATGGGGATTCCTACTGTGCAAGATCAAATGATCTCTTAAGACCTTATTTTAAGGAGAATTTAAACTCACAGAATTTAAACTCACAGATGTTTTCCTCTCTGGTAATTACATCATGAAATTATTCCACCCATCACGTTTTCAGGGTATGTGAGATATTTAGGAAGTGGTTTTACTTTCATATTTCCATGTTTATATCAAGTCATCACAACAGCTGTGATGTTGGAGAAAGTATCATGTCTTTGCCAGGTAAAGCATTTTGCTTCGGCTATTCAGGAAATGTAATGCCGCTGCAACAGAAGAGCAATTGCAAAGAAGGCACAAGCTTTCTGCAATAAATGCACATTTATTCCATATCTCTTGTGCAACCAATCATATGGAAAGGCCCAGAGATGTGTGAACAGCAGAGAAGTCCCCCTCCCCCGAATTTGCTCAAATCTGTGGGAAGAATAAAAGATACAAGAGCAAGGTAGCTCTTCATGTTAGTCTCTCCCACGCGGTGGTGACACTAACTACTGCCTACCATAGAGTATCCTAAGAGGAGTGCAATTAGGAGGTTGTCACTTTCCAGCCCCTATCAAGCTCACAGATCATGCCCTGCTTCCCTGTCTGCCACTGTTTCCTAGTCCTGATAGCCCAGTGATTTGAGCACCTGGCTGTAGAGCCAGAGGTTAGGAGCTCTGGACTCAATAACCCATAGGGTCCCTTCCAGCTCTGCAGTTCTGTTATATTATTATTCTATTATTGGATGCCACATCATGGCTCCCATCTCTATTTTAATAAGGCACAGCACAACATCTAAATAACTCTAATTTGGTGGTTCTGGGTTTTTTGGACTCTTTGGCCGTGTTCTGAAGGTTGTTCTTCCTGACCTTTCACCAGTCTCTTCAGAGGACAGCAACCTGTGCTCTGAAGATGCCGGCCACAGAGACTGGCGAAACGTCAGGAAGAACAACCTTCAGAACACGGCCAAAGAGCCTGAAAAACCCAGAACAAACATTAGATCCCGGCTGTGAAAGCCTTCGCAAAACTCTCATTTGATTATATTGGCCAAAATCCCGTTGCACAGCTCTGCCTGCACAACAGGAATTATATCATCAGGAAATGACTGCCATTGATTAAAGACTTCGCTTTCCAATTTCAGAGTGTGCATGGCTTACAGACAATGAGATGAAGTTGTGTGCATCTCCAAATGAAAAACAAAAGTCTTTAATCAGAAGCAATCTGCTGCTAATGATGATGTCACTCCTGTTGTAAAGACAGACCACACCAAACATCTCTACAAAAGCTTCAGCATCCGTTGTGCTCAGACTTCCAGGACTACATCAGACAAAAGGGATGCTTTCTGTTATGTATATATAAGCCAAGAGGCTACCTGAGCCATCTTAAGCTACTCTTTCCCTCCTCATTAAAGTTCTCGCAAACATCCATGCTCCAAAGCTACTTTTCAGGGAAAGAGTTCAGAAGCAGCACCAGAAACTTCTATTTAAAACAGAGGTGGGTATGTGTGGTCTTTAGTGGCATTTAGGCAGCTCAAGGCTACCCCAGAGCCCATTTTTCACCCATGGGGGGAAAATTCTTAAAATTCCTTTAGAAGTGCCTGCTTTTGTCTGCAGGACTGTGATTTTTGCAAGAGTAAGTGTCTGTCTGGACATTTCCTGTTTATATTTTTAAAAGGTTTTAAACTAGCAATTTCTGGACTAAGTGCACCTCAAAGTGGCCGCTAGGGGCAAAATATGACACCCACGTCCCTGAAGTTGTTCACTCCTGCCTCCAAAAGTAGACAGCAGGCTTTGACAAAGAGATACATTCTCTCTATCACTTGCACAGTTCTTATGTGGATCAGGCTTCACTTCTGCTGCTATTTACATATTAAAAAGCACACACATTAACTGCATGCAAGCCATTTGCACCATTTTATTCTAAAATGATTTTAAAGCCAAATTATATCAGTATGGGCAAATCCCATTTGAATGCAGGATGCTGCCTTATACGATGTCAAAACGCTGGTCCTTCTGCTGTAATCTTAGTGGTGGCAGCTCTACAAGGTTATGGGCAAAAGTGTTTCCTAATCCTGTTTCCCAAGATCACGTGGTCCCAGAGACAGAAGGAGAACTAATCTGGCTCACCTGAATTGTGCAAGGAGATAGCTTTCACAGTGGCTTGGATTATGTTGGCTTTTGTAAGCTTCAGCAAACCTGAGCAGACCAGCTTGTTCCCACCTTCTACTGCCCACATGTTGCCTTGTGCCCCTGCTAGCGACATGGCTCCTGAAGAGAGAAATACAAAAGAGACAGGTGTCAAAGAAACAGGCTGTTTCAAGCCATTTATTTTGCTCTGTGCCACAACATCCCCCGGTCTATCAAACTGAACCAATGCTCAGTTGGGAAAATGCCCTCAAGCCATTTTTGGGAGGTCTGGAGCAAGAGAACATGAGCACGACTCACCTGCAAATGCAGGCACCAGAACCGACTGACCGTAGCTGGCTCGGAGAATGGCCACAATGACATCATCAATGAAGCGCTGCGTCACGCCCACCTCCAGCAGGGACTCTGCTACTGAGCGCTGTGTCATGTTGACAAAGGCATCTCCACCCAGTGAATGCAAGAGTTTCTCAAGGTGAGTGAATGCATACCCATGAGCCTGGTATTTGTAAATTCTGAAAGGGGTGAAAAAAGAAAGAAAAGAGGGGAAGACAAGTCTGAAGAAGCAAAACTCCTCTTCCAGATACCTCACATTTGTCCAATGTGTTCTAGTTTTTTCCAGACTGACTGGCGACCATCTAGGTCCAAGGTTTAAAGAAGGCTGGTTGTCCTGTTTTCCTCTGGAAGGATCAGAAATGGCCTCTCTGCTACCTACCTCATGAACTTCTCCATCACCTCTTCCACCCACATCTGCAGGCGCAGAAAGCTCATGCCATAGTGCCACCAGAGTCGAAAGAGGTTCAAGAGATACCAGTCTGTCTCCTCCAGGACAAATTGTTCCCCACTAAAGATGGCACTCTTTCCTGCCACTTCTCGGCGGTGCTTCAGTCCTATAGATGGAGGAAACAAGACAGAACAGATACTGTCTTTTTTACCATTCTGGAGATCGTGCCCCAGTAATTAACTCCCTCCCTCCCACTCATTTATCTCTTTTTAAGCCATTTAGGTTGGCATCCATCTCTGCATCGTCTGGAAGTGAATTCTATAGACAAGCTATATAAAATAATAACTATGTCCCATCAAGTCAATTCTGACTTATGGCAATCGTTTTCTGGGTTTTCCAGGTATACAATACTCAGAAGTGGTTTACCATGCCCTCCTTGTGGGGATACCCTACGACTGTGCTTCTACACACTTTGGGTAAATATTCTTCCTTTGTTTGTCCTGAATTTCTCACCATTCAGAGGGACAATATAACCAAACAACTTTTGGAGGACCACACCTCCCCCAATCCAGCCATATCACTCTCACATCTGTTAACAATGGACACTAGTGCCAAAACATATTGCCAAAACATCACCATCAGCAAAATGGGCGGAGCTCCAAACTTTGTAAAAGTTCAGAGTTTCAGGGAGAAAGTAAGCAAGCAAACAGTTCAGTAAGCCATTTCAGTGGGCAAGGAATGTGAATTGCTGGGTGAGAGGGTGAGTGAAAACTGGAAGATCTGAGGGACGGGTGACTGGAATGATGTGTCCTGAGTGACAGCATGGTTGGCTGGCTGACTCCTGAAAGAAAACCACCTGGCACTGCGAACATTTTATTAAAGATCTCATATGTTACAGAACAGTTATGATTCCTGATCACAATTCTGCTTGAAGAAGAAAAGCATACAAACATTGGCATCTACTTACCAGACTGAAAAAAGAAAAGGGGGAGGGGGGAATCTGTCAATGACACTCACCCAGAAGTTTCACGAAATCCTGCATATGCAAGTTGAGGGAGTGAATAGAGGCCCCACCACTCTCATACTGCTGCTTGTTGACTGTGACTGTGGCCAGGCGACCCCCTACCGTGTCCTTTTCATACACATCCAGCTGTACCTGGGGCCCAAAGTGTTGCTGCAGAAAGTGAGCCACTGATGAGCCACCGATCCCAGCTCCTACCACAGCTGCCAAAAACCAAAGGAGAGGACCAAGCATAAGACAGAGCACAAGCCAAGTCACTTTTGATCAGAACAATGAGAGACTTGAGTAAAGATACAGCACAAGCTCCTGACCTCCTGTCCCATTCCGCAAAGGTGAGACGGCATTTCCATACACAAACACACAGAATCTCAGAGCAATTTATTATCCCCCAGCAAAGAGAGGTCCTTTAGTCCACTCATTTGATCCAATCCTTTTTACATTTCCTTTGCAAAAGGAATAAAAAATGCTGTAACAAAGGAGATAGAAAAGGTTCTGAAGGCAACAGGAAGGTTTGAACCAATTTTCAAAGAAGTAGCCATGTTAGTCTAGCTTAGCATGCTCACAAAAGAAAAAGGGGGGACAAAATATTGTAGCACTAGCAGATTCATTTCACTGTGAACTTCCATGGCGAGATAGTCACATCTTAAGACACAAGGACTATAAATACATTTATAAATATATTTATTCTATGGTGGCAGTGAGATTCATGTCCTAGAGAGGATACAGGAAGCAAAGTGACAACAAGAGTGGAACTACTACAATATTTTGCCTTTTTCTCCTTTTCTCTTGCTAAGAAGCTTTGACAGTCCCTCAATACTGTTGAATCCTACCTATGCATGGATCTTCAATATATGACCAAGCATTTGATATGATAAATTGCTACTGTTGCAGGCATATTTTCACAAGCCCACAACAGGGTAGAGTGAAAGGGGGGGGGAACCAGGCAAATTCAGAAGGCGAAAATATCTCTCATGAATGATTTTATCATTTGATCAGTTCTTAAATGATTGCCATGACAGTAGATTCCAGCAAAGAAGCAGGATCTCACAACGTCCTTAAAAAGCTGTTGTATCTTTCACAGGGCTGAGTGCATAACATGAGATGCACCAAGCCACTCCTTCCAAAGTGGGTTGGTACACATTTCCTGAATACAGAAAAGAAGAGAAAGAGGTTTTTTTTACACAAGGATGTCCCCAAAGCAAGCTACAGAGACAGCAGTGGGTATGTCAACAGTCCTACCAGAAGAGCACAAAAGGATCTTGAATCCAATCCAATCAGTGCAACTTCCAACCAGCATGGGTGAGAGACCTGCTTCCAGCTAACAACTACTGGCGACAAATAAGCTTGGTAAGAATTATAGCAAGAACACAACAGAGAGAGAATTAAGTGCTTTCTGTAGAGCACTAGCAATTAAAGGATGTATTGCGACTAAATCCCACAACATCTCCTGTCAGTCCACAGCATGCACCTTACAGGTACCATACTCCAAAAAATTCCCGCCTCCAACAGACAACTTCAGTGCGTGAACTATTGAATTGAAATGCATTAGGAAAATGGAATATGGAAATCGATGTTAGGAATATAGAAAGTAATTAGCTTAAATTAGCCTTCCCTTGGGTTATGGTTGGGCAAAGAAAGCGTTTAAGGCAGGTTTCCTTCCCCCCCTAAGGCTGCAAGAGGGATGGACTGCAACTCCCATCTTTCCTCAACACCGGCTATGCTGACTTGCGCTGATGGGATTTGCAGTCCAATACCATCTGGAGGATCATATTACGCTTACCACCTGCCTTAAGTGTTTCACATGCAATGGCAGAGGTGGGAGCAAAGGGCCCTCCAAGTGCTACTGGACCGCAATCACCCTCAGCCGCGACCAGCATTGTCATCAGTGAGCAGCGATGATGATGATGATGAAAACAGCAGACTCTTCTCTCCCGTGTTCTGCCCCACAAGGCTTTGTGTGCCTTGTAGCTAATGAAACCCCGCAAATCGCCGGCCCAGTTTCAGGGCGCTTACTGGACAATGCCTGCACCACCGGCCGGCAGAACAAGCAACACAGAAGGATGCATCAGGCTGCCGGTCCAGCCCTGCTCTCGTCCCCGGCATCCGGGCTGGCTTTCCCGAACTCCCCCCTCCCCGCTTCCCGCTCCGTGCGCCCTTCGGCGCTCCCGGGGGCCTTGCAGAGGCTGGGCTACCCCTCGTGCCCGGCGCAGCGGCATCCCCCGCGGCAGCCGCGCAGGGCGCCCTCCACATCCCCGCCACCGCGAGCCACAAAAGGAGCCGCGATGCCGCGGGCGGCGGATGATGGGGAGCCTTGGCCATCATGGTGGCCGGAGGGGCGGCAAGGCGAGGGGAAGGGGGCCCGGGGAAGAAGAGGAAGAGGAGGAGGAGGGGGCGGCGGCGGCGGCGGCGAGGCGTGCAAGGGTCACATCGGCGGGCTGGAGGCGGGACACCCTCCGCAGCGCGACCGGCTCTGCTCGCTCTCCACAAAGGAAGCGGGCGGGCCCGAGATTCCGGGGGGAGGGCCCGAGAGGCAGGCTCGGTCCGCCGTTAAAGAAACACGGTCCCTTTCGGGAGCGGAGGCCGCGGTTAGTTCCCGCGGGAACGCCGCTGTTGGGCCGCCGCCCGGTTCCAGGAGGGTGCGCGTTGACTTCCGTATGCATATGCACACGTGCGGGATCCGTGGGGACCACAAATCGCAGCGCCTTCAAACAAAAATTGCTGTTTTTATTTCGCGCAGACCGCAGCTCCTTTCTTCGGGCGCAGGTTTATTTTTTGTTCGGTCACGTGAGGCGAGCTGGGGTTTACACACGTGACGTGCAAGAGCAAACACGCATCTGCGCTGAACATACGTGATATTGGCAGCTGTTGGGCTCATCTGTCAGGGGCGCTGAGCTTGTCTGTGGGGCTCGGTGGGTCTTCCCTCTTATGTACGGACCCAATCGAAAAGAGGGCAGAGATTGTTCAGGTCTCCTCAAGAACAAATGGAAGGCTCTCTGTGTGAGCGGAAATGGTTGCTTAGGGAATTGAAATGTGTAATTTTCAGTTCATTGCTAGCTGGCCAAGGGTCCCCGCTGTGGTTCTGGGCTTAGTGCGCACATGGAACAGAATCTCAGCCTGTATCTCGCAAGTCATGTTTCCCATCACATTCTTAGCCAGCGTGTTACGTTGGCCCTCCTGCTTCTTAACGAGTTGCACCAAAAAGAAAGAAGTACCCGAGGTGGCACCATCTGAACTGCTACCTTCCGAAAGGGTCAGTTTCATTTCCAAACCATGATTGGCACAGTGTAAATATTCGACAAGCCCGTATAAGACATGGATAGCTGGCGTTGTAAAGCGGATTGAATGACAAAACTATGGCTCAGAAGACCCTATAGCAGGGGTCAGGGAACTTTGTACCTTTTACCCCGGACCTATAGCCTTGCTCAGCCATGGAAACTCATGCCGGTGGGTGTGCAATTGGTAACCTCTTTAGGTATCTTACCTTGGATGCCCTATTAGGGTCACTAGAAGTCAGTTCCACCTTGATGAAGCACTGCAGCGCAGAGCCATGTAAAAGAACATTCAAGAGACTTTGATGAAAACAGCTTCCAGAAGCACAACTGTGCTAGTTTGCTGTGTGCAAAACATAACAAAGAACAAAGCATTCTTGTAGTATTTATTGTGATGGAAACTTTCACAGGGTTGCAAAAATAAATAAATGCAAAGTCAAATATTCAGTCAGGGAGTGGAACTGAAGCTGCAGTTTTGTGCTGAAGAAATTAAACAATGGATGGTGGTAGTTGCTGCTGAGTCAACAGAATACAAAGGCTATTAGTGTAGCTTTGCAGAGGTATACAACCACATATTCACTTAAAACACACCAGTCATTACCCCACCCCCGATCTCTACTGATTTCAAAACAGCAAGAAATTATATAATAGTGGCATTGGAAGGGGCCTATAAGGTCACCAGATTCAATCCCCTGCTCAGTTTAGAAATAAACCATTTCTGAATTTCTAGCTGATTATTTTTTATTCAAAAAATATTCAGAACAAACACCACCTGTTTTGGAAGACAGAAATCCTGCAAGAATATGGTGCAGAGTGAAGGCATTGTTATATTCTAAACAACCTGGGTTTTCCAAATCACTCTTTACATATTTAGCTCAAGGACTTTCCCATGTTTATTCATATTATTCAATCTGTTTTTTTAAAAAAAATCCAAATTTAAAAAACCCACAAAGTACAGATTTCATGCTGAATTATTCCAATAGCTTTCAAATCAAGGTTTTCCCACACTGCTATTCATGGATCAATTACCTGAGAACTCAACAAAGCACAAAAGAATACTTCTTCCTATTCAATGGCCAAGACAATTTTTGGTCCAGCACCAACTGCAACATATCACATGGTGCTTGCACATTACAGTGAAAGCTGATTTTTTGATAATGTGTCAAAACCTGCATAGAGAATTAAGGAAGCTTCCTTATATTTGTTGACCACTGGTCATCTTGTTCAGTGCCATTTTAACTGGCAGCAATAAGAGCTCTAGCTGATGCCTCTTCTAGTCTTGTTCCTTGAGAGGATTCTTCAACAGCATATGCTTTTTAATGCAAGACATGCTAGTTTAGCTTCCTCTCAATTTTAATCATATGCTTGAAAGGATTTTTTTAAAAAGATCATAGAACTCATCTACAGCCCATGTTGCAGTTTGGGATAGCCAACCGGGGTGAAGAGGACTGCCAGTTCTGAAAGGAGTTGACAAATGAAGAGTTTTAGAAGTTCTTTTACCCTAAACTGTAGAATACCACCCCACATTCAAGGACATTTCTATTCCCCTGTGCTTTTCTAATTTTCAGTAATTATGATATCCCTGTGACAGGCAAGTATATTCCCACTTTACATGAAAAAGAGGTTAAAGAAGCTAGTCCAACATTCTAAGGAAATCATCACAGAAAACACGGTATTCCAAAAATTGTTTAGTGAGGAAGGGCCATATTACTTGCTTCCGTCCTAGTCCAAAATGCTGAAGGTGACTTTGGGATGGACAACAAAATGGGAGGTGCATCCAGATCAAAACAAGATGCATGGTTTCAATTGCCTTTAAATATAATGGAAGAAATGCATGCCTTTGTCATCATAAAATGAGTATATGTACATAGATATTCTAAACAAGTATGGCCTAGAACATTTGAGTCATGGAATCAGCCAAGGACTTCAACTCAAGTCGTGCCTGGGAAATGAACAGGTGTTGCTGAGTTGACTGAAAACAGTAACTGCAGGAATGCCAAATGCAGTTTATAGGCAAGTGGGAAGAAGTCCAATAGAGAATCATTACCTTAAAATGAGAAAACATCTGGGAAAAAATTGTGAGAAGATTGATAAAATGGAAGTTGAGAAGAAGCTGGGCAGGGGAAGACCACTCCAGAATTCTTGTAGGTCATCCAAAGATACTAACAGGCAAGGCAGTTGGCCCCAGGAAACAGAAATTTGCTCAAATTAGGAGAATGAAAAGACACACAAATGTTGTGCAAATAGATAAATGCATGCTTGTACAGACAGCAAGAGAACATGAGGAGGATATTGCTAAAAGAATGTTCAACTTTCTTTCCACATGTATATACACACACATACCGGAAGCAGAAAACCAGCTTGGGTGTCACTTGGCCTATTGAATGACAAAGTAGTGTGCTCAAGCAGGATGAGGAGACCACAGAGAAGATGAATGAATTATTTGTGTTGTATCTTCACTTTAGACGACACAGGGCTGATAACAACATCTGAACTAACAATTTCAGGAGAACATTCTGAAGGCCTGAGGAAATATCGACAGACCTTCTTAACAACTCTACAGTATCCACCTAAAAGTTCTTTTGAAATGCAAATATGAAACTGCTGGCCTTCTAACAAAAACGTGTAACATGTCCCTAAAACTGACCTCCACAACCTAAATACTGCATGATACAAAGTAGTCTGGTATAATGTCCGAATCTGGCATGGAACCTAAAACTGGGGTAGATGGGAATCCAGGAATTTAGCTGCTGGTTACCTTACCAGCTGTTCTAAAGACTGGTAGAAAGTTACTGAAGCTACCAAATACAATGAAGGGCAAGCCCTGCTGAAGAAGAATCAATGTGGTGGTTTCTGCAAGAGTTGAGTTTATTATACTGATAGAATGTGTTCCATATCTCCCTGCAGCCCTCAAATTTGCTCCCGAAGGCTGGGGGAATTGCTGGAACAAATTTAGGAGGCATGCAAGATACATGCAAGGGGGGAAGGGAGGCCCAGTTGCATGCTGTTGCTACAGAATTTGTTTTCCAGTTGTATACACTGAAGAATTTTAAGGCAGACCTGAGAATGGCAACAGAAAAGGTCAAATCACCCAACTATAAAAATATTTATAAACCAGGAAAACTGGTATTAAATAATGGTACATCTTGAAAGCAAACTTCAAGTTACTGTATCCATCCTGAGAGGCCAGCATACAACATAGGTTTGGCATAATAAATATGGGGACGGCAAGCCATAGCAGCAATCATCATGTGAACAGAAAACAAGAACAGTTCGTTAAGATTTCAGGTACTAATCAGCATGTCCACCTCATTCATTCATGTGATTCTACAGCCACTCCTACATGTGCATGTCTAATAGTGCGGCCGTGAAGCTTATAGCCATCCAGAGTCACTAGTGCCACAGTGCCGGGCTGCAATTCCTCTGCTGGCACGTGACATACTATTTCATGGTCATAGGGATCGTATCTGCCACCAACAGGATTCATTTTTTGCAGGCCGTGCTTAGCAAATATACTTTGGAGTTTAGATTCTATGAGAGACAAGTTTTCAGAGATCTTCTTGAGAGTCAAAGCTGGGTCATCATTTTCCTCGACAGCACATGCAGTGGTCTTGTCCAGAATATCTGCTACCTCTACCAGGTCTCTACAAAAACTCTGGATGCCTGCAAATACATAAATACACAAAAGGTTATTGCAATAATGGTTCAGGAGGCACACAGAAACACATCACAATCACAATCCTCTCAATGTTCTGTGCAAACCAGGGTTCAATAAACGTTGCCTATGTATTTCAGGGACAACAAGGAACATACATGTTTCAACTGAGATGCTCTCGGGGTTTCTAGCACCCCATTACTGGTATTTTGTCAAGGAACGTGTTTAGCTCAGATGGTATTTTGTCCAAGGAGTAAACTGGCTTTCAGTCATCATGAATTCTATTGCTTACTCCCAATGTAGTTTTTCCACAGAACTACTACAAAATACCAGAAACAGTGAAGCATCATCTGTTTAATAGGTTAAGCTTGTCAAGTTAACGGAACCTCTGAGAAATGTCTCAAAGGATATCCGCTGTGCACAGCATTCCTGCTTTAAATTTGAAGCCATCCATTAAAACAATGGTGCATTTAAATACTCTCTTCAGAGCAGCCATATATTTATCTAACCTAGCAGTAAAACAGAGCAGATTATTTTGTGAACACAATTCATATGTGAACATAATTTTGAAAAATGTGTTAATCTTTTAATAACACATCAGAATCACAATGACTGATATTCACAATTCAACTGTTGTGTCTTGAACTAACCCAAAGATTATTTAAAAGAAGACGACAAAAAGCCAAAATCAGACAAATGGGGAAGCAAACTCTACCAATCCCACTATATAGATGTTATTATATGTAGCATTTCAACAGCTTTTGCACACTGCAGTGGTGAGAAGCTGATGAAGGCGTGACTTAGACATATGAATGAAGACCCTATTCTCAAGCCTACTAGACAGTCTTAATGGTGGCCATGAAACTGTCTTACATCAGCACTATTAAGTCCTTAGAGAACCCTCCAGCCGAGCTTTTTCTAGTGTCTTGACACCTACTCTATTCAGATCCCCACGAATCCTTGTGCATCTGATGGGACATGCTTAGAAGACATCCTGAGGATAAAATTGCCCATTTACAGCTAGTTTTAACACTGACAGGAAAGCAACTCAACCAGTATGTGGTTGTCTAGAGGCCCCTTTACGATTAGTTGAAAAGCTTTTAGTTAACTGGCAGCCAAAAGCTTCCTAAATACCAGCAACACAGACTGATGACAAAGAACAAAATTTTATAATGCTATTGGCTAGCCAAAAATAGTCCCCTTTTACAATGTATCTTATCTGTTTTGATGGCACTAGCATCCTTTTACAGTACTTACCAAAAATCTTAGCATCTTCCACAAACTTCTGTGTCCTCCGCCGGACGTTTTCAGAATCTGTCAAGGCTTTCTGATACTGTTCCTGAACAAAAAGCAAGAAGCAGGATTAGGTACAATATCGTTATCCAAAACAAAAAGAAATGCCAATGAATATTCTATCATGCTGTACAAACTGAGAAAGAGGCTTGACTAGAGTCTTGCAGGCAAACACAGCCTTCAGCTGCAGCTTTGAGAGAGAACCATAAATGTCTCCCATGCTTCAGAAGTTACTGTAACTGCTGCCTCAGCACCTTTACGGAGTTGGATGCGTGGGATGAACAACACTGAGCAGTGAATGCACACACACCTTATTCCAGATACAATTCTGGTGGAGGCCAGGGGGATAAGCAGCACACCCTGCCTACACATAATACCCACTTGGTGAAACCAGGTCCTCAGACAGATGCCAGCCAAGAGCAGGGAACACACTCTTGAATCAAGAAGGACTGTACCATAATGAGGACTGGGCAGTATTCTGAATTTGTGTCCAGCTTTTTTTTTTTTTTTTGCCTAGTGTGACACCAAATGTAAGCCCTAGCTTAAATACAGGGATTGATTACAGTGGACCCTCTATTTACGGAATTAATGGTGGCTGCAGGTCGAAAAGTCTGTAGGTCGAGTCTCCATTGACCTACAATGCATTGAAAACCGATTAATCCGTAATCAGCCATTTTCGTTCCGTTTTTGTTCCATTTTGGGTTTTTTCCGGTCTGTAGGTCGATTCTCAGGCTGCAAGTCGAATCTAAATTTTGCGGGCAGAGAAGTCTGTAACTCGAAAAGTCTGTAAGTCGAGCCGTCTGTAAGTCGAGGGTTCACCGTATCATGTTCCTGGCTGCTGGCTGGCTGGCAGAGCCAGGGTTTGGGAATTTAACCCCCCCCCCCCAATGCCTCCCAGGACAAGACCAGCTGGTGTAATCTTGGGCAAGCTACACAGTTCCACAGCACCTCCAGAAAGAGGGGATGGTAAACCACTTCTGAGCACTCTCTACCTAGAAAACCCTGGCAAAGATCACCATAAACTGGAATTAACATGTACGTGTTATGATGTTTCTGGGTGTTTCCGCCCCCAGCAGCAGTCACATGTTTCAACCAAGGGAAGATTCACTGAGAATTTCCTTTGTCTACAGAACTGAAGAAAGACAACTGACTTTGTATCCCCTGATGAAATCTGACACCAACACAATCCGCTGGGTTTTACTAGCCTGCCGCATCCAATTCATGGACTTTACTTGCATTAAATAGCTGGCTAGAGGGTTTTTGGACTCTTCTGTTCCCTCTACCACAGCTCTGCAACACACAGTGTGACAAAAAGGCCTGCAGGACTTGAAAGCTCTCCTATTTTTGGTATTCTGGTAGTCCAGTACTGGAAATATCCTCCCATGTGCGTGTTTTCAGTATGCCACAAGAAGGGGTGCCCCCTGTGATATTGCCTGTCCTTGGCCTGGAGAAATAGCAAGGCTAGCAATGGGGTAGCGGTAGCTAGAGGAGACACTGGGCAGGTATCTCATAATGTTTGCATCAAAACAAAACAAGAACTATTGGCTGTTTTATATTTACAAGTACCAGTGTGTGCACTTTTAAGTAGTCAGCAAATAGGAAGTTTAGGCATTAAATTCAGTACAATATATAACCGAGACTGAAATCCTAGAACACACTTAATTGGGAGTATGCTGACCAGGACATATTCTGAATAGACATCTACAGGATCCTGCTGTAAATTAATAAATCCCTTCTTACAAGTGAAGACAGTGTTATCCTTTAATTAAAGGAAAGCCAAAAAAGATGTTGATAAGGAAAACCTGTCAAGTAATTTGTATTATTTCCAAAAGATGACTGAAGATAACCTAAAGGTAAAGGTAAAGGTTCCCCTTGACAATTTTTGTCCAGTCATGTCCGACTCTAGGGGGCGGCGCTCATCCCGCTCTTCAAGCCATAGAGCCAGCGTTTGTCCGAAGACAATCTTTCCGTGGTCACATGGCCAGTGTGATTTAGACACGGAACGCTGTTTACCTTCCCACCAAGATGGTCCCTATTTATCTACTCGCATTTGCATGCTTTCGAACCGCTAGGTTGGCGGGAGCTGGGACAGGCGATGGGTGCTCATTCCATCGCGTGGATTCGAACTTACGACTGCTTGGTCTTCTGACCCTGCAGCACAGGCTTCTGCGGTTTAGCCCACAGCGCCACCACGTCCCTGAAGATAACCTTAACCATGGCTAAACTGGGGGGGGGGAGGGGGATAGCGAGCAATTCTATTCATGTCCACTCAAACATCAATCCACTGAATACAAAGGAAAATCCCAGATAATTGTATACAAGATTGAAGCCCCAGGCAACCAGGCTAGAGGAAATCCAGTGTCAGTGGCATGTTAGAATTGCTGATTCATTTTCAGTTAAAATCTCCTCTGACTACTCACAGATGCAGACATTTCAGAAAAGCCCATGTCAAATGAGGTAAGGAGTTCAATATTTTAGATTAAGATGTAATAGAACCAGACAGGGTTTTAAACAAACTACACCAAACTACTGGTGGACAAATAATACTAAAACATCTTATTTACTTAGCCCAATGCTTTTCAAGAACATCTGGGGTTTGAGCCAGTAAAAAATGAAAGTAATGAAAACATATAATTAGTCTTTCTCTAAGACTCTCCAGGTCACCTGCTTGCAAAGTTCCTGTAAGAGACTGTCTGTCATCACCTGGTCAGGAGAAGGCAAATTTCTCTTGAAAGTTCTATCCTTGTTCTAGTTCTTTTTAGAAATAAAAAGTTCTCTAAGGATTTCCATCACCCTCTTTCTGTAGAAACGTGGGCCTCTCTTAAGAGAAAGATCCAAGTCAACAAAGGCACTTACTGTTAAGACACGGACTTGTTCTTCTAATCTGACGGCTTTGTGATCTAAGCCGTTTTCGTTGAGATGTCTTGGTCCATCATGAGGGTCTTCTGGGCCACAGTCATCCCCTGTGCTCCTCTGCTGTGCTGCGGTGCTGAAGGCAAAGAGAAACCTTTTGAAATGATACAATGATGAAAGATGGGGGAAAGAGGGCAAGAATAAGAACAAGGAATTGGCTTATTTTAAAAGTAGATTCATCCATTGAGCTAGGGTGACTGGCAGGCGGTCCAGCAGACAAGGGCTGAGCTTATGCAGAGTATTCTGAGACAATAGAAGGTTACAAAACGACTGACATTTAGACAGAGAATGAAACCTTGATTTTTTTAAGACCTGATGTGTGACAGGTCTTTAAAAAGCAACCCAGATCTTCTACAACCACCTTCCCCAGCTCAGTGTCACAGAGCCTTCCTGCGGTGTTTAACAGCCCCCAAATACCAAATTTCCTTAACTACACTTCTGGTTTCACCCCAGTATCAGTTTTGGCCATGTGTACATGTGTTTTGGTTGCTTTCTCCCCATCTGTGTGGTCCTTGATGTCCCAGGGTAGAAAATGGACCCCTTGAACCTGCCAAGCTTGACCACCCTAATCACACATAAAAGACTTAATTCAGCAGACGTTGCCAATGCAAACAGGAATTCAAATCCTTAGAAATTTCCAGTGATCTACATAATGCAACTACAGTCCTACTTGTTAGTCACGTACCCAACCTTTCATAGTAGCTGTTGACACAACCCGTCTAGCTGCTTGTTATTGGCAGAGGTATCAAAAGGTCAAGCTCATAAAATGATAAGCCACAGACTGCACACTGTCCTTTAGACGTAAGAAAGTATGTTCAGTTCAATCCATATTTATTGATTAAAATCTGTTTCTGGAATCTAACAGCAATCTGGCATATAACAAGTTAATTTTAGTCAAAGGGGAAGTGACGTCTGTCTGTGCCTCAGAGAACATTAACCAAAAGCATTAAGAAAGATAAGACCAGCAGAAACCTCCGAAACCTCGAGGAAGAGGTTTCAAAACATAGTCACAATTCATTGTTCTGAGGACTTAACCAAAAATAGGGGAAGTGCCAACAAAATGATGCCATCTCAGATGATTCTGTTAGAGTTGCAGCTAGTCATGCTGTCTCTCAAGATACACTATTCCATCACTCTAACTCCATCCTTCTGCCCCCCCCAACAATCAATATGCATTTCATCACCATGTCTGGTGAGCTTACTCACTCCTCAACGGTCTGTTTTGAGATCATTCATTCATTCACTCATTCATTCTATTATTATTATTATTATTATTATTATTTATTACAACTCTGTAAATTTGGGAGTTCCTCGAAGTCTATAAATACCTTCTTCTCTTGCATGAATTGTACCATTTTGATTACAGAACAACTCACACTCAGTAAAGGAGTTTGCAGTGAGTACTTACTTGACAGTGGTAAAAATTGCCATGCTAGTGAATGTACATGAAACTGGCACAAATGCTAATCATTGTTGCTGTTGAGAGACCAGGAACAGGAACAAAACCTCAGCTCCACAACAAAACTACTGTACGTAAAAATATCATTATTTACTCCAGTGAGGTCTCAGGCTCTTTGTGGTACTTCCAGAAGCACCTCGTATTAAAACTGAAACCTTAAACATGCATATTAGGCAATAAGCCCCATTGGATATAAGACTAGTTTCCGAATAACCATGCACAGGATTGCACTATAAATTGCTAGAAGAAACATTATAGTTCAGGACATGAAAGGATTCATGCCAGATGAATCTAGTTTTTGCTCTAGTTTCAGTTCACTCTCATCTAGTACCAGACACCTGCTCTACTACTTTAAAGTCAACCTAGCTTCTACCCAAAATGCACATCAGGAAAGTTTCCTCCCAAATGTCTTTGTTCTTCCCTGAGACAATATTTACTGCCAGCTTTCCTTAGTTCATTTTATGCTGTCAAGCCAATTCTGACATATGGCAGTGCTTTCCGGGGTTTTCTAGGTATAGAGTACTCAGAAGTGGAGTACTATTCCTTTCCTCTGGCGCTGTGGAGTTTGCCCAAGGTTATGCAGGCTGGCTTTTTTTCTAGGAGGCACAAGGGCTTAGTCAAAAGAAATGAACTTCTGAAAATTTATCTCTTGTTTGGCTTTACCAAATAAGTGCTAGTGAACAGATAGTGAAAGCATTGGCACAGACTACAGTTGTTAAATTAGTTGCCACCGATTGCAGAAGGCAAGACTAACACCCTTGGCAATCCTATTTTCCTCTTATCTTCTCTGCTTAGATAATCTGTTCTGCACACAGGAAAGCTAGGTAATGGGAGCTTCCTGATGGAAACCAAGAGGTATTCAGAGTGACTTGAATATTTGCTGAATCAATCAAGTCAACTAAGGTTAAAAAAATTAATTTTATTAGAAAAGTACCACTGAAAACAACAGTCAAGTGATAAGTAAATGTAAACAAGGTAGATTAAGTACAGGATAGTTGCAGATAAGCATAAAAACTGGCTGGGAGGAGCTGTGCCACTGTTTTGTCACTGGCAGATCATTCAGCATTTTCTTTTTCTGGGTATGTCTGGTTTTTTGAAAAGTACTATTTGGGGGAAGTCTTGGGAGGTTGCAAACATTGGCTTGGGAATCCGTGTGATGGCTGGAAATGAATGAGTCTTCGGGAAAGATCTGTTCATGAGAAGCAGATCTGTGCTTGCACAACACTCTCCCCTTTGTCAGTGCAGTGAAATGTAACACATGAAGCAGATACTGTACATCCTGTAATAGTTCTATCTCTGCCTCTTCTTGAAATAAACTGCTTTGAGTTCCACTGGACAGGTTCTGAAAAGATTTAACATGGAATTTGGTGTGCAGAAAAAATAAGAGCCATAAAGGCTCCTTTCCCCTAAAATGGAGGAACAAAATGACTTCAGTGAACAGCAGAGAATGAAGCCTGAGTGACTCCTGTCCTCTTGAGCTATGGGCGATAACAGGAAGGAAGGAAGGAAAAAAACTCTCAAGGGACTTGCCTAAGTGACAGCAGACACAATAATGGAACAACCCCACCAGCTGACTAGAAAAGTGATATTGGCAACAGGATCAAGTCAGTTGTGAAAGGAGGCCGACACATGGTGTTGGTTCACTGTGTGGGAGTTATGGACCGTCAAGTCGCATCAGACTTACAATGATCCTAATATGGGCTTCAAGGCAAGTGCAATATTTAAGAACTGGTTTTACCAGTGCCATCCCCATAGTTAATTTCCATGATTGAGCAGGGACACCTGATTCTTTTTTCTCTTTAGTTCTCTTTTCCTCCATCTTGAACTTCTAAATTTGTTGATTTAATCATGCGATTGTTTTTATGATATATTTTGATAGTTACAATGACGATTTTATATGATTATACTTATGATGTTTTACAACTGTTTCTAAGCCGCCCCAAGTACTCTGTCTAGAGGGGCAGGGTAGAAGTCAAATAATAAATTAATTAAATAAATAAAGACTCATACCCAGGTCTCCTGAAGTCCTAGACCAGCGATGGCGAACCCATGGCACGCATGCCACAGCCGGCACGCAGAGCCCTCTCTGTGGACACATGCAGTGCTAACATTCTGACAGTCGCGGGCCACGATCCAGAGCAGCTGGTGCTGGCGGGGGTTGGGCAAGACTGGAGGCAGATCCAGAGTGAGGTCTAGAGGCACCTCCATGCCCAGGATGCCCCCTTCCCTGCCACTTTTGCTTCCACCACTACCGCCACCTGCTGGGTTCCCCCCCCCCAGGTTTGGGCAATTGGGCTCAAAAAGGTTAGCCATCACTGTCCTAAACCTTCATTCTATCCACTACACCAGAGTGGGCACTATGTTGGCTTACTATGGTCAGTTTTAATATATTATTGGTTTTGTTTTAGTTATAACTTAATGTGGTTTTTCTTCTGTAACACAATCGTTTATCAATTTTCTTGCAGTAAGCTGCATGAGTGAACATTTTTCCAGAAAAGTTGGACAGAAGGACAAACAACATACAAGACAACACAGATTCTTCTGAAAGCAATGTTACTGGCTAAATCAGATTCTACTTTTACCATGCCTTTCTTCTCTTATACCGGTGTCCACACAGGACACAGAAAACTATTGCACGTTTATTATTTATCACTGGAGATATTGATCTAAAAAGCTCACAAGAGAATGCCAAAGTATAGCTATGCAATCTTCTGTGACAATATTTTCTTAAACATCACACTAAACTAAATTTCAGCAATGTATTTGTAGGCTGTTTGTCTTTTTACTTTTTTGTTTGTTTGTTTTGCTGTTTTGCTATTGCTAATGATTTTCTGAAAGACTAATGCTGAGAAATAAGGATTCTTCTAAGATATGAATACTCCACAGAAGATAATACGAAGAATCGATTTTGTGGCCTGAGGCTCATCGTACACCATCTGTTACTAATTCCTGAATGTCAGAACTGAATCTAGTTATGTGCAGGATGTCAACAGACAGGAAAGCATGTAGAAACTGAACCCAGGTGAGGTGATTCCTCAGCAACACCCCCTCCTATGCCTTTTCTGCAGCAAAATGACCAAAGTGTCTGCATCCCTCTCTGGTGATAGGCATCCTTCAGTCTCGAGAGACTATGGTATCGTACTCTGCATGGAGGACTTGGAACAGTGTCTAGTGTGGCTGAGAAGGCCAATTCGAGAGTGACAATCCCTTCCACACTGAGGACAAATACAATCTGTACCCCGTCTAGCTCCCTGATTCTGCTGCTTTCCTGACTGCCTCTTTGCCTTGGCCTGCTGGACAAGGGTCCCTTCAAATTGGGAAAGGCCATGATGCACCGCCTGCCTCCAGGCTGAACGCTCAGATGTCAGGGTTTCCCATCCGTTGAGGTCCATTCCTAAGGCCTTCAGATCCCGCTTGCAGATATCCTTGTATCGCAGCTGTGGTCTCCCTCTGGGGCGATTTCCCTGCACTAGTTCTCCATACAGGAGATCCTTTGGAATCCGACCATCAGCCATTCTTACAACATGCCCGAGCCAGCGTAGGCATCGCTGTTTCAGTAGTGTATACATGCTAGAAATTCCAGCTCGATCTAGGACTATACACAGGGAAAAGGGGAACACCTTAATGATGCTGAGATGGGAAAAAGAGATGAAATATGGGGCAATGAACCTGCACACTTCAGTCCCACTCAGATGTCATACCAGACCTGCAGGCAACTCTCACCCCATCCTCGCTGTGAATATGAAGAAAGTCTGAAGGAAAACTAACCATGCTTTTTGGCTGAACCCAGGGACATTGGTCTTGTGTGTGATTGAGGAGAATTCCCCAACTGTGTGGAAGATTGTAGCCACATTGCAGCACAGGGAAACAGGAGATAGAAAATCATGAATCTGCCTTTGCAACACTTGAAGAGTTCTATCAGCAGCAATGCAACAGAAAGCAAATACTGTACTACTGCCCTGTGGAGGTAGAAATAAAGCTGATGGAAGACAAGAGAATTGGATGTGAAACAAGATAGGGACAAAAACGGAGAGAAAGGAAAAAGGGGGTGCAGATTTGCCACACCTACTTCTATTGTGGAGACTGAAAGGAAGGGAAGGTATGCAGCCCTCAGACTGAGAAAAGTTTAAAAAAAAACACACTTGGATCAAAGAAAGCCTTGTGGTCTGATTCAAGGGCCTGCAACGCTCTATACATCATTTTAACGGCTACACCGAAGGAGGAGCAACTTTTCCTACAACGCGGCGCTGATGGGGCGCAGGAGGGAGACAGAAAAGAACCCACCCACCCCCCAAAAAACAGGGAGAAAACCGGGCCGAGGGTGGATCTCGAACCCTGTCTTCTTTCACACAAGGCCACCTCCCGAGCCCGCTCGTGGCGCCTCCCATGTCCTGGCACAGGAGGGAGAGGGAGAGGGAGAAGAAAAGGAGAAGGCGCCGGAGCCGCGAGGCGAGGCGAGACAAGGCGGCGGCGGCGCCTTGGCCTCGTGATCCCTCCGGCGGCTGAAACGGAGCGGCGAGGAGCAGGCAGGCAGGGAGGGCGCTTGAAAGGAAGCCTCGCCCCTCTCCGAAAGAGCCCCGCCGGCCCCCCGCAGCGCGCCTGGGCAGCAAGACCCGGCTTGGCAAAAAGCGGGAAGGATTAAAAACACACACACACACACACACACACACACACACAAACGATGAACTCCAGCTGGACGGGTGTGTGGGTGTGCGCACCGGGTCACACACGGTCGCCCAGCTCCGGCCCCAGGTAGCCCCCGCGGGGTTACCACGGGGACAAAAAGCCGGTCTGTCTGGCCCACGGGCGCGAATGGGGGGGGGACAACAACCAAGCCGGAGGAGAAAGGGGCGTCCGGTCCCCTCGGGGGTCTAGGATGGGTCGGGGAGAAAGAGGCAGTGCAGGCAGGACGACATCCCCCCCCCCATCCCGCGCCTCCTCTTCCTCCTCCTACCTGTTGTAGTGAAGCTGGGGGTGGCCGAAGGGACGCAACGGGTGGAAGCAGTTCCGCGCCGCCCGCACGCACCGGCTGACGGCCATCCTCGCCACGGAGCTCAGCCAAGCCAAGCCAAGCCAAGCCCCGACAGGAGGGAGCGAAGGAGAGAGAGGCACGCGTCCACGCCCGAGCACTACGAATCCCGCCAGCCCCCGCGCGCGGGTCGGGCAGAGGGACTGTGTGACTCCCGCCCGCCCGCCTGCCCGCCTACGCCTTGGGAGGAAGCTCCGCCTTTCAATACCGGTTGGGATGATTTGTGATGTGCTGCTGTCCGTTTGTTACAGGATTCTTGCGTCACTATGACCGCTTGACTCCCGAAAGGTCCTCATTGAACAGCTGTGCTCAGCATACTGGGCCAAAGGCTTTATTTACATCACTTAGGATGCAGGATGCAAGATTGACAGACCTCTCTGGAAGAAGGGATGTCTGAGTTTGTTTATTCATTTATTTGAAATATTTTTAATTCACTTTTTCTGTTATAAAGGACCAAAGGCGGCTTAAATCATTAAAAGACAATGTGTAAATAGTAAGGACAGTAAGTACACAAATATTGAAACAACAACAAAAAAACGGCAAACAGAATCAACACAAAAAACAGGCAAATCAACAAGGCACAACATCTCTCATCTCATAGGCATCCTTCAGTCTCGAGAGACTATGGTAACGTGCTCTGTATGGAGTACTTGGAACAGCGTCTAGTGTTTTGACGCTGTATGCAAAGCTGGAGTGACCTCTCCAGGGCACGAAGCCTGGGTAAAATAATATGGAGGATAGCCTGTTACCCAAGCAGCAAATCCCCCCTCTCCACGTCACTGAAATAGTCCAATGGAAAGGCAAGAGCCAATACAACTGGTTTCAGTGACATCGCAGGAGTTGACAGAATGACACGAACTGCCACAACACTTCACTTAAAAAACCCACGCATGCAGCTGGCCATTATGGGAAGGCTTGACTGCTTGCAGAAGGACAGCAAAGATGGGGCCAGTCTGGCCTCCTGTGGGAGGAAGTTCCACACTCTGGGGGTAGTGACAGAGAAGGCCCTCTCCTGTGTCCCCACCAAGTGCACCTGTGACTGTGGAGGGATTGGCAGGAAGGCCTCTCCTGATGATTTTAACACCCAGGCAGACTCATAAAAGGAGACACGGTCCTTGAGATAGCTTGGGCAGGAGCTGAGGTCCCTTCTCTCAATGGTTTTTTGTTTTGGCTCATGAATGACTGCTGTTTTTCACCCTATAGATAAGGACTGTGTAAAGTCTGTCTAATCTAGCACTCTTCCACAACCTTATTGTTTCTGACCCTTTCATTTTTCATCTTACCTGAAAAATCCATTGAGAAAAAACACAATAGATGCAAAGTGCCTTCTTCCTGAGGAGCCTTTCATTTAATTCTCAGAAAAAAAATTCAAAATGAAAACATGCACAACATTATACCTTATTAGGATGAAAGAAGCAGAGACAATGAGCGCTGTCCTTTTAGGAGGAAGTGACTGGCTATTAACTCAGAATTGAGTCATCCCTCTGGTTTGAGCATATAGTATTTAACTCTTGAAATATACACATTACAAACTCCCCCCCCATCTGTGTGTCAGCAGGGCTACAGCTGTAAGAGCTTAAAATGGCTTGTGCTGATGCAGCTGGAGCTGCATCCCAAGTGAGACCATTTATTTCTGGACTAGAATGTTTATTTTTTACTTATTTCACAGCTGAGAATTAAACATTTTGGAAGTTTCCGCCAGATGGATCACAGAATTGTAGAACAGTTGAGTTGGAGGGGGCCTAAAACCCATTGGGTCTAACCCCCTGATCAACACAGGAGTCCAGATTAAAACAGATCTGACAAATGGTTACCCAATTTTCTCTCGAATGCCTCCAATGTTGGAGTACTCACCACCTCCTGAAGTAATCGGTTCCATTGTCAGACTGCTCTAACAATTAAGAACAGTTTCCTGATATACAGTTTAAATCTGGCTTCCTGTAGCTTGAGCCCGCTATTACATTAAAAGTGGCTGCATTCTGGGATGATTGAGAACAGATCCTGCCTCTCCTCTGTATGACTGTCTAGTATTTGAAAAGTGCTTTCAGATCTCCCATTGGTCTTCTTTTCTCAAGGCTAAACATGTCCAGTTCTTTCAGTCTTTCCTCATGCAGCTTGGTGTGGCGTTCACCCCTCGTGCCCCTGCCTGACTCTCCGAACACAGAGCACACGAAGGCAAATACTTCTTTTTACCCGCTGCCACCAGTTGATCACTAAATCATCTTTAATGATGGAAGGATGAAGATGAAGGTCCAAATTTCATTGTCTTTTAAATAAAACTTCTTTATTGATTACAGATGTTTGATTATTAATCATAGGTGATTTCTATTATCAGCGATCTCAACCTTCTACAGTATTTGTCATAATAGTTCTTATTCACTCTTCCCTCTAATCACACCTCAGATCTCCCAAATACCACACTCTGTCTCTCCACTCTCTCTGACTCTGACTCACTGACTCCCTCTCTGACTCTGACTCTTTATTACATATCTCTTGGCTTCGCCTCTTAGCAACATTAGTCTGCAACATGAATATGCATGACTACTACATAATAAAGGTGAATGCTACATAACCCGCCCCTAAATATGTTTGTTTGGGAGGGGAAACACGTTTTTTCTCCTAAACAAACAGGCACAATTGCATTAAACTTTACTTACCATACCACACAATTCTATAGGCAATACCGCATTTAATATAACAATTACTATACCTTATACACTAAACATTTCACTATTATTCAGTAATATACTTTACCTTATCAGTGACAATTATTAATTTATATTTAACATTACCAACCTTACAGAAATATCACAATCAGGAAATTTGTACATAAATAATTAACCTGTAAATCATAGTCCATTTCAGTTTATTTTAAAAGTCCTTGCATCACCCTCCATGTTTCAGTTCATCAATATTCAGTTTTTCCACACTATACACAAACAGATGGACTATCACAGAACTGGTAGTGAAATTTTGGGCGGCATGCTACAGCAGACAGACTAGATAGCTCAACCCTTAGACCTTGGCCATACATCGCTATATTTGCTGCTTTAGACATTCTTAGCTGTTTTTAGACATTTTACCTTTTGTATGACTATATATGCCACTCTCCTCAACGGTTTACCTTTTATCTTTTAGCAGTTTTACCTTTTATCCTTTTAGCTTTTTACCCTTTTTTTATCCTTTATTTTTACCTCTTGTATGGCTTTGTAGTATTCCTCTTTCTGAATTACATAATTGACATTGTTCATTTTTGAAACTACTTTATAGGGAACCCTCCCAAGCTAATTGTAGCTTGTGACCCTTGACTGGCCTAAGTAAAAGAACTTCATCTTCTGGCTCAAAAATTATTTCCTGGGCTTTCCTGTCATACCAGGTCTTCTGCTTGGTCTGGTCAGCCTTTAGGTTCTTTCTGGCTATCTCCAGAGACCTTTGCAGGGTTTTTTGCAACCTGCTCATATATTCAATTACTGACTCTGGGTCATTTTCACTATGGTCTTCCCAGTTCATGCGAAGCAAATCTAACGATCCGCGCACCTCCCGTCCTAGCAACAACTCAAAAGGATTGAATCCAGTGCTTTCCTGCGGAATGCTCCTATAGGCGCATAATAGGGGTTGCATTTTGCAGTCCCAATAATTTGGGTTCTCTGCTAATTGGCCTTAATCATGTGCACTAATGTGCCATTAAAATTTTCAATTAGTCCATTAGTTTTGGGATGATATGGTGTAGAGTTGATCTGGATTATTCCACAAGCCTTCCATAACCTCTTTATCAGTCTGGAGGTGAAGCTAGTTCCCAAATCACTGACTAATTCACTAGGAAATCCCAATTGGCTCATGTAATTTATTAAGGCATGTGCCACCATGTCCGTTTCCATGTTACATAATGAAATTGCCCCAGGATATCTAGTGGCAACATTCATAATGGTCAGAATGTACTTATTCCCCCTCCTGGTGGCTTTAGGCAAAGGGCCCACCAGATTGATTCCCAGCCTTTGGAATGGGGTAGAGATGACTGGCAAAGGACATAATTTGGCTTTAGTCCTGTCCTGCTCTGTCCACCATCTCTGACATACATCACAAGTTCTGCAATAATAAGTAATCTGTTTACCCATACCTGGCCAAAAGAAGTTCTGGGCAACCCTTCTTTTGGTTCATGTGATCCCCATGTGTGCCCCAAAGAAACTACTGTGAGCTTGATTTATGATTTTCTCCCTGTGTTTACTTGGGACCACTAATTGCTTTTGGGGGTCTCCTTTTCCTCTGTATGGGGTGGCTAAAGTTTCCTTATACAAAAGGTCTTTATACATACAAAATCTCTCAGGGCATTCGGGAGACAATACAGTGGACGTTCTGGCTGCTTCAAAGCAACCCCCTCCCCCCCACCAGCTAATCTCCTTCTGCTCCTGGGCAAAATAATTTTTATTGGGATTCTTCAGAAGCATGGAATCAGCTTCAGCACCACTATTAATCTGGTTATTCAAGGGATTCTCTCCTGGTCTTCCTCTGCTGCTGTATCCAATTCTGCTGCAATGGGTGATGTTTGGCCCCCCTTTGAGTGTGTAAGTACAAAAGCACTCTTGACATGCTCTATTAAGTCCCATCTGATTAGAAAAGCAGCTGGCATTTCATCTGAAACTGCCACCTGCCACTTTCCAGACCAATTCCCGTAGTTTATCTGAACCTCTGCCACTTTCAGCACTACAGATTCTTTCCCAATTCCTTTTAGGGTCATAGTTCTGCCAGGAATTATGTCATCCTGGGCTATCAAATCAGAATGTACTATAGAAATTTGAGACTCTGTGTCCCTTATAGCAATGCATTTCTTTCCTCCCACTAATATCTATTCACCAGTGTTTTTGAGAAGAATATTGTCATTTTTGATATAAAAACACTGGACTGTAGGGGCTACAGGAATGTCTTCTTGCTCAGTTGCTGTGGTTGCCATGGAGACAGAACCTTGGCCACAGTTTCCCTCAGAGGCCTCCACAGTTCCCAAGCAGTATACTTTCTTGATCTGGCCATTATTCTAAATATTTTAAGGTTTATTTTTTGTATAATTGAATTGTAAATGACCAGGCTCGCTGCATTTGCAGCATCCATAATTCCTTCTCTCATCCTGAGGAGATCCATTAAACTTTTCCTCAAGATTCATTTGGTTCTGAGAACTAGGCTGGGGC